TTCATCTAAACGGATTGAAGCATGGACGGTGCACTAGCTGTGAACACTGCTTTGCAATTGAACGCCTGCCAAAATTATTGCTAGCACCAGTCCACACTTGATGGATCGATCTATCAAAGATCACCAATACCCTCAAAAAGAACACAGCCACCTGGACCCCGATGATTCTATAGAAAAAGACCTGATGGTTCTGCTTTTATAGAGAATCATGAGCACCTATTTCAGAGTAGTCCCTATGGCAGCTGTGTTTCCCCGAATTGCCATACAGCCACACGTATACTTTAGCAACTCAGCATTTCAGCTGGTAGCTTCTCCCGGGAACCGCTCACGGCTCCTGGCTCCTGGCTGAGGTAAGTCAATCCACTTGGCAACGTACATCGCCAGTGGCCACCTAAGAGCGAGCCGGGCACAAATCATGGCTGGCAGCGATGGGAAGGCACATCACAATGATCGAGTTACACATGCAATTCTAAATTCGATCGAGATTTGTGTTGTATAGGCTGAGTTTGTCACGCCTTTTCCAATCCACCGTACTTGGTCCAGCCCATGCTCACCCCATTTTTCTTGTTCACCTGGGCTAGATGTTTTGCTGGGCTTCATTGTGCTGTGAACAGTGCACATCTGATTGGGTACCCGACAGCCAACTTCAAGTCGAAATGTTTGTTGACCTCTTCCACGCGCTCTTGGCTGGCTGAATTGATGTAGAAAGCTCCAGCGCTAGAAGATTGTTGCAGCAGCCTTGGGAAACACCCATACATGGAGATCCAGAACAACAATGATTCCCAAAGTACCAAGAAAGGCCAACAGACCCTAAGAGGCAATTTTTGGACGCGACCTTTTTAACTTAATTAATTTAGACGCTTTTTAGACACAAGAAAGGTCGCATCCAAAAATTACCTTTTGGGGTCTGTTGGCTCATGTTGGTAGGCCCTGGACAAAAAGCCAATAGATGAAGAGTCACCATCTGGAGCAGGAACAGTAAAGGACCTGATGTAAAACACGTACAGGGAATGCGTGTTTAATCGTTTTTAGATTATGAAGATCCGACCGCTTGGCCAACGCTGAGGTTTCTACTTCCCCAAACAGGTCGTTGGAAGAACTTGGCCAAGGACTTCACACGTAGAAGAAAGATCTTTGAGTTTCAGGAAGTTTGCCTTCAAAGGAAATGCGCAATGAGAACATTGAATCACACACGGACACAAACCAGCATTACTTTGAACTCGATTGTCGCTTTGATTGATGTACATGTTAGAATTATCAGTGGTGGCCTCTGCGGCCATCAACCTTCCTTTCAATTCCTCCCGGGGGTCCTTTGCATTCGACCGGGCTTCTGCTGGGGCTGCTGGGGGAGGGGTGCTTTTTGGACTCTTTGACTTTGCACCTGGCTTCTCCGACTTTGACTTAGCAGCTGTAGCCAGACTTGGTCGAGACCTGGATCTTTTTGCAGAACGGCGGGTCTTAGGGGACTGCCCTGACTCCCCAGGGGGGGGATGTGGGATGGGAAAGTTTGGCAGTGCTTTTCAATCGCTTGAACTGATCCTTCGGCTCTTCCAAGCTTGGTTGAGACTTGGCCCTTTTCAGAACTCCTCTTTTGGACCGAGCGCGCCGGAGGGTCTTCATTGCTCCCTGCGCCAACTTGTGAGAGGAGCCCGAGCTACGAGCATGTTCTGGGTCCTCGAAAATCTCTCCTGTACCATCCTGTGTGCCTCCTCCGTTTGTTTCCTCTCCTTTATTCTCTTCCTTTTTCTCTTCTTGATCAGGTTTCTCTCCTTCATCCCCTTTGCCACGGCGAGCACGACCTCTCCCACGCCCCTTCCCCTTGCCTTTTCCTCTGCCCCGACCTCGGCCCTTAGTTCTCTTGCCCTCTGCTTCCTCTTCATCCTTAAAAGCTTTGTCAGGATCTTCATTCTCTTGTTCTTGCTCTCGTGCCACCTTCCTCATGGTTGCTTGGGCCTGCCAACTGTTGTAGTATACTGTAAGTGAGAATGACAAACAGCCCCACTAGAATTGGAAGTCTTCGTAATCAAGTTTGAGGTCAAACGTCAGACGCGCGATTCGCTGGTTAATTTAAATACTCTATCCTGCGCACGTCTAGCCTGTAGAATGTCCACACTGTTGTCTTCTTTGCTCTCCAAACGTGCAACCTGCACCTCCACTTGGGACTCTAAGGTTTCCGGCACTGAGGGCAGTGCAACCAGCATAGGTTCCCTGTCCTGGCGCGAAATATGCAGGTTCACTGCTGGCCGACAAAGGATAGACAATTTAATTTGATCAACGAAATGTGCAAGAGTCAAGGTGGTTATACTAGCTGTCCTTAAATGTTCCCTTCTTGTCTTCGTCGCTGTCGACATGTTGCGTTTCGCGATGCGGTGCCGCGGCTGGCGAACGCGCGTCGCCCCCTTCTGATCCTTGCATTGCTGATTCTGCAGTCCTTTCAACTTCGAGCAGCGCGCTGGGTTGAACATCGAAGCACGAAGATTCATGTTGAGGCAGCTCATATGCTTCATCCTCTAGCACCTCATCATCAGTGCCTACTTCCTCCTCACCTTCTTCAACACCTTCCTTACCCTCCTCAACTTCATGAACCGCATTGAACTCTGGCATTTGGGAGTCATGAAGATCTGGCATCTGGGAGTCATGAACATCTAGCACCTGGGAGTCAATGACTTGGGTTTCAAAGGTGTCCACAAAGGAGCCAGTCTGCGCTGGCTTCGGAAGTTCTGCATCCTTGCATTGCTCCTGGAGGGGCGCGGGCATTCCAACATAGAGAGACACAGGGCTACTTGTTTTGGATTAACGACGGCAGCTTTGCAAACATGCACACAAAAGGGATTGTTCATGTCCTTGTTCTTCTTCAGAGATGGTCCTCGGGTTGGTCGTTTCTTTCCACGATGGTCCAACTGCTGAGTGGCCTGTTGGTAGACAGTGCATGTTAACGGACTTGGTGGACTGATGATCGGACTGAAACATGCCTCCAACTGGTTTCTGATGATCTCCTTCAGGACCTCCATTCTAGAAGCACCTTTCCTGTAGCCCGAACAACTAAACTTTCAGCCACGCGTTCATGAAAAAAAGTTGACTTGAATGCATGGGTCCTCGTTCCGGAATTTCGTTGGAAACGGGTCATCAAGTAGCTTGCAAAAGCACGATGGATTTGAGCTTCAGTCTCGCTCCAAGCCTTCAGATTGAAATTATTGCTTCGATCCAATCAGAATTGAAATTGATCGACGATGGTCAGCACTCCAGGCCAATAGAGAATAAAACATGTGACAATTGTCCTGATGCTCAAAGTCATCCTTGAAGGGGTTGAGGCTGAAGTGGCGGCTGGTCCACTCCAGTGCCGCCTGCGAAACATGTTGGACCGAAAGGCCCCAGAGTTGAACTGACCCAGTTTCCCAAATGGTGACCACCCATGACAACCCCCAAATCAATCATAGACGAATCATAGATCAAACGATCTAGTCAATCTTGCCTGCACTTCCATCTTTGATGGCAAGTCCCCAGCAAACCACGCCAGATACTCGCAGAGGAACTCAAAATTTGGATTTTCCTGGACCTGCAAAAGACACGAGCACAAGACATCCTCTCGAACCTATCATGCATGATCCTTGAATTTGTACGAGCCTCCTTTTCAGTAACTTGGGTGGCATCCATCAGTACGAAACTGAATCGTGGAACCTGAAGCACATTCACCAGCCCAGTACGTTGACAAGTCTCGGAATTGGACACTTAGACCGGAACCTTCCTGAAGTCTCCCGCTTTCAGTCCAGCCCTGACTCGGAGAACTTGTCGACGTTCAGCCACATAGTCAGGTTTGGAAGCGAAGTCTGAGTAGAAGGCCTCTCGTGGCTTTTTTTACAAGTTCTACCAAACCAAGACCCCTCCAAAAAAACAATTGAACGGTCGAAGCAAAAGTTATGTTGGGTTTGATTTGCTTGATTTTTAGTGTTCCTGGCTCGATCTGACATGGCCCGCCTTCAGGAGCTCCACTTTTTCTTCATTGATGCGCTTGGGGGTGCCGGACATTGCGGTTGGCCGGAGGGTGATCGCGATGAAAAGAACACAAGAAATCCACACCATGCAACGCAAAATGAATTATCGGTTTTAATATGTGTTGCACATCATCATGACCGTTCGGCCGACTGTCACAAGAGCTGATGGCTTGGCTGGGGAATTGGCCAAATCAGCAAAAAAAGATAGGAGATGCATGGAAAGTTTGCAATGACCCTGCTAGTGCACTGTGATTGGAAGATTTCCCAGCCTTGTTTCGTCCAGTAGGCGTCACAAGACATGTCGCTGTCAACAAAGCTGGAGTTCTCGTATGCACCTGGGGCGGGGTGGAAATACTGGACATCCTTCGGCAAGCGGTGAGCCATTGATCTAGGAGCAGCACGCTTGAGGATGGCTTTTCTCATCTTTGGGGTTGCTCCAGCCTGAAAGGCGAGAGAGGCATGCACATTAACCCATGAGGAGTTGGAAATACTCCCCTTGATTGCCTCCGAGCAGCAATCAAGATGCAATCCCGCCAACCATAGCACCAGCAAGATTTTCTGGTTTGAAGATGTTTCAAATTGTTTGAAGCATCAACCAGCCCCATCCTAGTCTCATGTGTTTGTTTTTCTGTGTGAACTTGAAAATGCAACATCTTGTGTGGTCAACCATGTTCAACCATCTCGATTGATGCACCATGGCTGCATAGCGATGAGATGTGCAGGATGTGGGGAACACCTCGGGTCTGCACAAAAACGGTCTTTGCTAAAGGCTATTGTTTTTATAGTCGTTGACCCTCAGGGTTAATGAAGCTCAGCTCGAGCCTCCAATGATAAACTCGTTTAAAACCTCAATGTCCAGCAATATGTTTTAGGCAACAAAGCGTGTTGCCCAAAACTTCGGAAATGATTGGAAGGATCGCCTGAGAGGGATACCTGCATATCCCTGCCAAGTGGTTCCCGTTGTTCACCAGGACGACACCACCCACACAAACACACATCGGAACCGGCCTGTGAGCGAGAGCGCTGTGGCCTGAAGAACTCCGAAAAACGGGCGGCTACATGCGACGATGCAAACGAAAGTAAAGCACTACATATCCCAACCACGACCCCCGGGGGACTGGCATATTTACATACAGACCGGGGTGGTTGACCTGAGGTCGATGTATAAGTTTATGTCAGTCTCTTGGGGCGTATGGGATATGGAACCGAAAGCCGCCATAGATACCACTGGACATATGGATTCCCTGCGCTGACTGGCGAAATCAACAATTTGTTTGATGATGTTTGGTTGATTTTCTGTGGTTGGTCCATGACCATGGAAGAGGAAGCAGTGTCAAGACCAGCATTGACTTCTATACCTCTGCTTTTTTGCCTATACCGATACCACATTAGCAAGAACTGGTGGGTGGGCCACAGTTACTAGTTACTAGATGTCCATCAAAAGATCTGGCCATCTCTCGACTGAAGCTCGCTGCACCACACGGAAAGTTTTTGGCAGCTGCTCAATTATTGGAGGGCTCTACCGCCACCACTTAGTGAGTTTGGGGACCATAGTGGACTGAAGTTGGCCATGTTTGGCGCGGTGCGAGAGGAAAGGGACTTGGGTTCTTCGCGGGTGTAGCTGCGGACAAGAGCCTGTGCAGGCCCTCCAAATGGCCTGAAATTCCGAAGTAAGTGGCATGAAATCAACATGGCCTCAATGGGACTGGTTCATGTTGATTTCAGTTGATCACGTTGATCATATAGGGAATCATTGGGGATATTCCAGGCACTGACACTTCATGCACAGAGCAACCCCTTCTATCAGAAGTTGCAGGATGAGATGATGAGATGTGTCTTGAATAATAGGAATACCCCCTTGCCCAACCAACTACCCATTGGCTTGTAGGGTTACTCACCCATTTTACTTTCAATGATGATATCGGTTCCCGTAACCCTGGAACCAGGTGTTCGAACGCCGTGCTTGGTCCGTTCACCCCGGTATGTTCACCGTCCTTTTGGACCCCGTTCCGCACACGTTGTCCCACGCCGTTCCGCACAGCACACTCGGCCCCACGCCAAGCACAGCACTGGCGGAGCACCGACCTCCTTCGGAGGCTCTTCCGCTTCCTGCCGCCACACAGCTGCGCGCGGAGGCCCACAGTCAGAAGTCCAAGACCATATTTAAATGGTTGATCACGGCTTTGTACTGTAAAATCGTAAAACAAAGGTTGAGTTGTGGCTCTTAAATCATCTTAAATCATCTGAAATCAATGGTGGTTCGACTTCTAGGGTATAGTCTCGAAACCTGCCCACAACCTCCGTTCAGACGGCCGACCCCGGACCGTTGAGATGATTTGAGGGTCTGGAGTCTGCCCTAGTCGAATGGAGGGTTCATGAGCCGAATGGAGTGGGCTTTGGCTTCTGAACTTGACTTTCTCCCTAAGGCTCCAGTCGTACATTCTGAGAAGGAAGGACTGGGTGCCCGGGTGCCCGGAGGATCCAAATTCCTTCGTTTCGGAGGTACGACTGGACTCATCATGCCAGAAGACCTACTAACCGAATTCTGCAAACCCTGGCAACACACACAAAAGACATGTGGCAATGTAAAAACGTATAATGAGACTGTGTGTCCGAGTTGAGGGGCAATGTCAGTCGATCAATCCTGCAGAACTAGAAGCGACTGGATTTCAACTGCTGTGCCTGAAGAGTCCCTTTCAGGCACTGGTGCTAACTGCCCAGTGGACTCAACAAAAGGTTACCAAATATTCTATACCACGGGGTCGACCCCACTTGGACATGGAATGGGACTTCGTCCGCGGACGAGGAAAACCTTCATGCGCGGACGGTGACCTGACCTAGGTCCAGCTATGATCTGTGGTATTTCTTTTGCCAAGCCATTCCTCTTCCTCTTCTTCCTCTTCTTCCTCTTCTTCCTCTCTTTCCCCTCCCTCCTTGCACCCAACTGGGCCCCCCCCACCTTCCCCCCCGGGGTGTCCTCAATTTGACTGCCGGGCGCCGAGCGGATCTGCCTCTCGTTGAAGAAGCCCTCGAGGGATGGCGGTCGACCTGCAGGGGAGGACCGAGGGCGAAAGGCGGAAAGCGAAAGGAAGAAAGGCGAGGGCCCATGCGCCAAGGACGACCGGAATGGGATTGGCGACATTGACCCGAATACGACACCCCAATGGAGGTATAGTCAGTTATGATGTGTATATGCCATATATATAGATGCCATATTGGAGTGTCTGGGATGAAGAACGCTGTGGGTTTGACTGTTAGCATTTCGGAAGATGGTGTACTCTTGGAAGGAATATATAGCTTTTCTATGCTTTCCGGAACAACGCGGAACCTGCTGTGATACCAACGGGGATGCATTTGTAGGTTCCTTTTCCCACATCTGATGAGAAATCTTAGAACACGTTGTTTGACGGCACCCTTTTCTCAATGACCTAAGATGTGGTTGTCGGTTGCTAAACAATGATCGCATGCAAGACAACACAAAATTGACCTAGTTGAGTAAAACATGAAAGGGTCTAGGTGTGCGCCAGGCCTAACATCCGCAAGCTCCCAAATGGCCGAAAAGACCCGAGTCTAGGACTAATGACCAACAGCAACAAGAACAAGAACAACAACCCCAAAATGCGCCGGTGTGCGAAGCTCTTAGTCTACACCTAGAAATCCACCCTGCCCCTACCTAACCACCCTCTGATTCTGAGGATATGCTTGGAGCCCTATATAGGGAGACCCCAATCGTTGCCGATTGTCCCAAACCCTCCGAGGTCGCCGCGGTCGATCGAAACGAAACGAACCGGTCCGACGCGGAGGACGACCGCGGTCCTGTCCGCCACCCCAGACACGACTCATGGTACTAATCCGTCCCTAATAGGGATCCAGTCGTACACCTTCTCAGGTTCGGTACGACTGGACCCTCCTGGAAGCTGCATAAATAAAGTCTCCAATCACCTAACCTGAGAAGGTACTTGGATCCCTATACGGAGTTGAGATGGTCGATTGAAATATGTGTGTGTGTGATTGTCCTATTTTTTCTGGGTAGATTCCAGTCGCATGGAGTGTCTGGGTACCAAAAACGGAATCTGTGCCGCCATTGCTCCCGTTCCCCATCCGAAGTGAGAATTATACACCATATATGGATCCTGTCTGGGGGAACTATCTCATCTATCTCCACTTGCACTGGACTCATGGAAGTGGAATTTGGATGGGCTCCCCAATGTTCGGATGGACCATGGCATCGCTACGAACGGGGCGAAACGGACATGTGTCTGGCGGTGTCCAGACTCGCGCTGTCGGCCGCACCGTCATGGTACCGGGGGACCCTGCGAGGTCAAACCGAGCATGAACAGAATCACTGGGAGGTCAACCTACCTCAGCCTGGATCTTCCCCGTGACCTTTTGATCCCCTGGTTTGACGTCACGAACAGGCTTGTAAAAGGTCACTTAGGGACTCCAAAAAGGTCACTGGGGAAGGTCCTGGAGGGTTTGAGGACTTCTTTTGGTTTTGACCCCACAGCCATTGATCTCCACCACCAAACTCCGGACACCGCACAGGCCCTGCTAGCCCGCCTTCTTCCCGACCCACTACCCGGGCGGTCGCACAACGAGACTCGGACCGATGTCAAGATCAATGAACGTGTTCTTCACCGGTAGATTCTCAGCAGGCCGTACGGATGGAAAGAAACCAAGAGAGGTATAAGCATAAGTGACCGTAACAACAGGACCCCGTAGACCTGGGGTATACCTATATATGGGATAGTCGAACAGTCGGGTCCTGACCTACCTCTGGTGGACTCTTCAGATGACTGTGCACTGTGGGTCACCGGGTGAACCTGCCAGGAGGTCCACCTACCAGCGTGAAACAGGCGGTCCTGGATCAAAAGACCCTCGGTTTAACGGATCGCAGGAGTTTCATGGGTTGAGCTGTAATAGTTAGGACTATAAGGAATCTCTCGATGTCAACGCGTTTCGGACCTGTTTGTTTGCCCTAAAGTAGCCTATAAGTCCCCCAAACTCACATCGGGATCTGACAATTTGATGACTCCTAACTTACCCAAAAACTCACTTCCTTTGTTCCTTGAGATTGACGGTTGATAATCCAGCACAAAAAAACATGCGCAAGCTCTTTAGGAGTGTTGTGAGGAACTAAGGGACACTCTTCACGGGGTGACCGGGAACTCAATCTGGTAGATGTCGTCTGAAAGAGTTTTTTCTCGCACAGTACGCAAGGGCTGGACTGTAAAGAATAGAAAAGAAAACTATACATATGTTGCGCAGTACACATTTTGGACATTCACAACTTACTGCTTCATTCTGAGGTACTCAATTGTATTCATAACTTCCAACCATGTTGTTGTCTCACATGTGGGAACGGACCGACTTTCTGCCTTAAATGGCACACCTCAGCCACCCATTCAGGACACAAGGCACAAGATCATCTCCAGTAGCTAAAAATCAAAACAACGTTGGACACCGGCTGAGAATAGCTCTTCCAAAAGTTCAAGTCAAATCGTCTACTTCCCAGCACCTGCCAAAGGACGCACACGTATTATCACGTATTACTATATAACACACCCAAACCTCCAATCAACATGTTTCGGGTAGTGGTCAAAATCAACGGACGCATGAAACCCACTGTGCCACAAGAAACACGGTTTGGCGGAGAAGGCTACTCGGATGTGCCCATGTTTCCTACACTCCCAATCACTAACATGGATGTGGAGTTCAACCTGTTCGCAAAGCAACATGGTCTTCGGGGGCCAATGTTCCATCTTCCAAATTGAGTGGAAATGGTGCCAAGAAAGCGAACCAAGAGCCCTTCATTGACCCCAAAACTCAGTTGTGAGATGTTGTGAGATGTTGTGAGACATGCTTGAGCCATCCGAACAGAGCTTGAAGAACCCGAACTAGACTATCCCAGTAAGGTACCCCAGGTTACGGTCCTATTTACGGTCACGTTCCACCTCTCGTCAATTAGGCCTCAACTCATGTTTCATGTTGTTTCGTCAGGCCTCATGTTGTGAGACAGGCCATCCCCAGGCTTGAGCCATCAATTCATGGCCAGAACGCCTTCTTGAGCCGGTCGGCCGCTCGGCGCGGCGCTCGGAGTCCTCGGTGCCGCCCGAGAGGCGCTCCCGTTGGAGTCCTCGGTGCTCACCGAAGAGATGGTCGGCATGCGCCTGGCACCGCAAGCTAACTATATAGTAACAAGGCCCCTGCCCTTACTACTATACTAACAAGAAGCTACTATAGTAGCTAGAAGCTAGTAGGTTGGAGGCCATCGCTAGTAGGTTGGAGGCCATGGCTACTAGTAAGAAGAGGCTACTATAGTAGCAAAGTACCTTGTTGCACCCAAGAGATAGTCGGCATACCGCCGGTCACGTCGAATCGATGTCAGCGGCGGATCAGTCGAACGTCGGCGGCACCCAGCAGATTCCTAAGCGGCTGTCGAAATGGGCTTCGGTGGAATCACGCCACAAGGATATCTTGATGGATCATCTCCTGGACCACCGCCAAAACCACAAAACATGAATGTGAGTGGTGTAAAATGTGCAGTTTGTATCCCCGCCGCGGTGGTTTACAAGCACATATGTGCAACGTGCGCGCTCGTAGAGCAGTAGATACACGACCACCAGTCAAAGCACATAAGTTCATCTAAAATCATGCGTGTTATGTTTTTCCCGATGCCATGTGTTGGTGTCCACTTGCTGTGAGGTTTGTTTGTGTTCACACCCACCAGTGATTCCGTCTGCCACATGGACCATTTGGGGAACATTTTCTACAACCTCATGTCATCGGACCATGTGCGGAGCTTTTCTTGCACAGCATGGGTGGCCTTCCGATCTCCTGGAAGAGTTGATTGATCGATCCATAAGGCAAAGTATTTACGGGATAAGTGTCATGAAAAAATGCAAGAGTTGATGGATTAATATTCGATCACCAAATCGGACATCGGATCAACTGTCATCAAGCAAAAACAACATGCAAGAGTTGATGAATCCAAAAATAAAGTCATAATGGAAATGAGGCCGGCGGGTGGTGAATTTGGCATCCCTGGGGTTTTCCACATGCCGGGTTCCTGTGGAGTGTGGTACTCTCACTTTGACTACTGCAGTCATGATATGTTCATGACTGTTGCTGGGGAGATGCCCATGGCCAGATTCGCCAGCTTTCAAGTCTGAATCTTCTGTTGGAGGGTGCGTCCCTGTATGTCCTGAATCCACACCAAACACATCCTTCGAGCTGAACCTGGTAGTGGTTCTTCTTTTTTTGCTATGTTTTGTTCTTCCTTCAGCCCATTGGAACGCATCAGCCGACTCAGCTTCTTGGCCTCTTGAATCTCAGACTTTGACCGACCAAAATGCCCTAGGGTGAACTATAACCCCCTCAAATGTTTTCCAGCGGACGAGAGTCTCAGTCGCTGCGGACGTCTTTCCACGCAACGCGGACGTCGTCCCAGTCGCGGACATCGAGTTCACGACCAACCTCCCGGGCGGGGCGACTGGGCGTCCGCACATCAGTTTGCTCAAAGGCATCTGAGATCGGCGTGCGCATCCGTCCAACGGGTAGCAAACGAAACCCGGGAAAGCGAGCTGGGGAGCTCACAATTCGGGACCTATGACGGTTGGAACTGAATCCACTGGAAAAGTGAACAGGAACTAAGAACAAATCTGAACCGACCTTTCAAGAGCTAAGAGCAATCTTTTGTAAGGATTTGCCAGGAAAAACTGCAACTAAACAAACCCAACGAAGGCCCACTACCTGACTCAACGAAACAACTCCCTTGGTGGCCTGGCGAAACGAGCTTGCAGCATGTGGGGATGTCCCCTATATATGGTTGTTCAATGTTTTTCAGGGTTTTGGTTTGGTCTTTCCACAACTTTGTGGAATGAAGCTCCAGTTCTAGGGAGGTGGAGGAACCGTTTGTCAGCAACGACGGGTGGGTAGCAGCAGTCTAGCAGCAGCAGTAGCAGCAGCAAGCCACCAGCAGACCAGCAGCACTGAGGGGCAGCAAGCCAACCAGCAAGCCAGCAGCGCAAGATCAGCAGCAGCAACAAGTCAGCAGCAACACCAGCAAGCCAGCAGCAGCAACAGTAGCAATCAGCAGCGAGCAGCAATAGCAGCAGCAAAGCAGCAAGGGCCAGAAAGCAGGCAGCTAGCACCATGCAGCAGCAGCATCAGCAGCAAAGCAGCAGGCAGCAGCAAACAGAGCGTCCGTGCGGGGGGGGGGCCGGCTTGGGGTCGGGCAGCTCAGAGGAGGCGTCCTGGCGCGTAGTCTTATTGTTTTCTTACTATTATTACTTTTCTTATTCTTCTTGGTTTGGGTTCTTTCTTAGGCTTAGGCTCATTGCCTTGCCTTTTGGTGTTTGCTGGATTGGCTGGGAATGCTGGGGCCAGCTTAGGATCTATGTTGTGGCTAGGTCGGCAATCTGAGAGTGCTTCTTATTGAAGGCTTGCCTTGTTGCCTTGACTCCTTCCAACTCAATGTAGAGATCAACCTTTTCCCACAGCCACTTGGTCGCTTTTTGGTGGCTGCCTGCCACTTGCGCTTCCCTCGACTTCGCAGTTTTCTGCGACAGGGCAAGTCATCAACAGGAGTCCGGCTACGATATGCCGAAGGGATCTGGCCTGCTTCGTCCGAGGGCATATCAGACAGTTTGTCTCCAGAGATGAGTTGGAAGCAATAGTTGCCTGCCCTTTTTGAGTGCAATTCTAGCTGGAGGGATTGGCCAGAAGACGGCAGCCGGAGCTTTTGGACCCGGACCGCTGGAATTCTCTCTGTAGCGGCGCAACAACGTGTATATACAGTCTTGGAAGCCGTCGCCTTTGTTACAGGTGGCCTGGACCGAGGACAGCAGCAGCAAAAGCAGTAGCAGCAGCAAACCAGGCAGCCGATGCTCTGGATGATCTCGGAGGTGTCTGAAGTGCCAAATCTGTTCTCTTTGCAGAATGTCAACGCAGGTTTGCCGTTCCCAGGTCTACGTGCGGCTGAGAAAACATATACCTTGTGAGGTATCATCGCTGGAGTATCGTTGAAATTGCCCATAAATGGAAGCGAAAACGGTCAAGCTGAGTGGATCCCCTACTGTGCAGGCCAAAACGGCTCCAAGCTCTAACAACTCTCGGCGGATCGTCCCATCTCATCGGCTGCAATGCAAGTCTAATTAGAGTCTTAGAGGTATCGTTTTTAGGACCTCCCCGATCGTTTTCGAGAAAACACAAACGACATGAGCTGCGTCACATACAGCAAATGCAAAAACAGAACACGAAACCAGCAGCTGGCATGGTGTTGTCTAAAGTAAAACAACATGATCCCCATCTTCCCACCCTGTTAACAACTCGAGGAAGTCATCTTCTTTGTAGGAAGCTGGTTGCTTTGAGGTGTCTCTGTTCAACGCCCAATTGAATTGTGCCCCGTCGAACGTCGAAGAAAACTTCTGAGCTCCAAACATGGCCCCAGAAGGGTGTGACTTCCTGCAGGAAAACCCATCGGCAGCAAAGAGTGACCATCCACATGGGGCTATGATCGCCCTATCCAAGAATGGTCTTTCTGTGATTGGCTGGGATTGGAGGGTAATATCTTCTCAGGACGTAGTTGGATCTGCGATATCAAACAAAGGTAAACACACATCCTTCAGATCACATTCCTTCACATTTTCCTTGTGGAATGCATATCCTTCCTTCTTTTCCACATTCCATGGGATTTGAGGGTGGTACCCTGAGAATATGCCCAGGTTGACCCATCGATAGAAAATGTATTAGACATTGTGTCATTCTCTACTTGACAACATTACATTTTTTTGGGGGGGGGCATTCCTCCCATTCCCAGTCAAAAGCCTTTCTCAACAATAGTGATAATACGACTCTTACAGGTAATCAATATATGTTCATCTCCCTCCCATGGTGATTGTCCAACTAACTCTTTCCTCAACAGGACCACTTTCAGGCGTGCTTAAGGACTACAGAATGGGAGGCAATGAAGCAAATTTTTAAAAACAAAAGCACACTCTGACACTTGTATTCAGTGACTCAATTACCACGATGGGAAGGATGGCGATGGAACAGCAAGGCGCATGAGTCGGTCAAAACAGTATTGTTTAAAAATGTTTCCACAGGTGCAAGTCTGCAGTTGGCGGCTGGCTGCAATTCACGATCGGCTAAGAAGTGCAGTGGAAAAACCTGTTGTTTGGGGGAAGGTAGCATGAAGAAGGACCATGAAACCAACGAACAGCAGCAGGGTGGACCATTGGAGTCAATGTGTTGAAAGCAGGTACGTGAACCTGGCGTCCCAGGTTCATATCCTCTCCAATCATCAGTAGCTTCGTTGGCCACAGACTGATGAAAGGAGCTGTGGCCCCCTGCTTGTGAAAGGTGGTGGAAAACTGTGAAAGAAGTGGCGGTGAAAAACCCTTTGTCCAGGGGTGGACACACACAGGTCGCCGTCGTCGGCGCTTTTTTCCAAAAAAACGGTGGCACGCGTGGTGGTTGTGTCCTTTTTGGACATAGAGCCTCACTAACTCGGCAGCAGCAGCTTCAGCGCTGGGTGGAAATGTGTATTTTCGAATGGTGTGGAGTCTTGATTGGAGGCCTGATAGAGCCAAGCGCTGGCTCCCGGCGGTTGTGGAATCCCTGATTTTCCAGGGTTGGGAAGGTTGCATGTAGGTGATGGTGCGTTGTGGGAGGTCGATGTTGAAACCGAGGAGATGGAAATCCTCCACCGGTTCGAGTTCCACGGGGTCGCCAAAGAAGTTATGGTGGATGAGGGTTTGAATGGCTGGATGGTGGAGGAAATGTTCGTTGTGGACAATGAAACGGTTGTCGACATATCGATAGTACGTGAAGTGTAGGTCAGTGTGTTGAAGTAGGTTGTTGTGGATCTGATGCCAGGAATGTTCTATGAGGGTGATGGCGACATTGCAAAGGGCTGGAGAGAGCTGGGATCCAATCCCAGCTCCTCGGATTTGCTTGTAAGTGTTGTTGCAGGCCCGGAAAATGCATGTGTTGAGGGCAAAGGCCACAATGGTGGTGATGTCTGATGTCTGGATGGTGCGTTGTGTAGGGTGTTTTCGATGGTGTCTGCCAATGTGTGAGTGGTGAAAAGGGTTGCCGGTAGCCTGGACATCCACCGTCAGGGTGTGTGTGGATTGCTGTTGTTGCCAGTGTTGAATGAGAGAGTGAACTGCATCGATGAGTCGGTGTTGTGGGACCGAGTTAAAGAATCCGACCAGGTCATCGTTGGTGGCGTGCAATGAGATGTCTGGTGGGGTTTGGGTGAGGTAGCTGTGGAAATGGCGCCAAAGTTGGGGAATGGACATTTGGCCGGGATGTTGGGGGTAAAGGTGTTGAAGGATAATGTCAAGGGCACGGCTGGTGATGCGGAGTAGGTTGCCACTGAGTGATTGGAAGTATGAGATAATGGTGCGTCCTTTCTGCCATTGCTTCTTTTCTTTGAGGTGGACGACGCCGTAGGGAATGTTGAAATCTTTGCGGAAGCCCCATTTGTAGCGGGTGCGCAAAATGGGGGGAACAGTGGCTGCCAGGTGGTCGTGGATGTTGGCGGCAGTGAGGTGGGGAAGTGGTTCGAAAAGTTCGGGGGATTGCCATGTATTCAAAGCGCCAGAGAAATATTGGCGAGGGCAGAACAGCCGGAGTTGTTGTAGTTCATGGTCGGCATGGTGAAGCAATGTGTGTTGGCCGAGGTATTCTTGGAGTTGGCGAAGCAGGCGAGCCGTAAAACGGGGTTGCTGCTTGAGGTGCGTGTTGTGGAGGCGCCACTGGTGCTCAAGGAATGGCTGCAAGTGTTGGACGAGGGATGGTGGGAGCCCTTGTAGCTTGAGCCATTTCGTGTAGGCCGTCCGGAACGTGAGGAAGTATCGGGCCTTGCTTGGGTAGTAGGTGCTGTTCATGTTGGCGTTGAGAAAGATGCCAAGATGTGTAGGGAGTTGGAGTTGATCAAGTGTAAGAATGTAGTGGCCGTTGATGGTGGGGGTGTCAGGATCCTGCAGGAGAGTACGAAGGTGGCCACATGCGCAGGGGAGATCTGGCGGGGAATGGAGGGCGTCTTCCCATGCGCGGTGGTTGTGTAGGTGGGAACGTAGTGTTTTGTGTGCGGCTTCGCGCAGTCGGTGGGAGGGGAGGTGAAGGGGAATGGTCAAGTGCTTGTGCTGCTGAATGGTAGTTCGGAGCCATTGTTGGCAGTGTTTGGTGAAATCGTCGTGGGCCAGAAATGGCACGGTAAGTGGAATATTTGGTTTTGGCGGCGTGAGGTTGCGGTAGAGGAGGGCTTTGTTGATGATGTGAAGAGCTCTGCTGCGGCCGGGTTCCTCAAGGTTGGCGGCCATACGCCGGATGGCATAGACTTCAAGGTCCGTATGGCGGCCGCTTCGTAGCTCTTTGGCTGCTTCAAAGGAGGCTGCTGTGTGTTTGGTAAGGTTGCGGAGAAGTTGAAGGGCGTGATGCTTGGTGGAGGTGTAAAGGTGTGGTTCTCGGAGTGTGTATTGGCGTTGCCGCAGGCGTCGAAAGAGTCGTTTGTGGGTTGCTAATCTGGAGTAGAAATGGGCTCTGTGTTTGGTGAACTGCCAGCCTTGAGCTTTGAGCTTGAGGTGGTGGGAGATAAAGGGCCAGTTGAGTGTAGGCATCCAGTTTGCGATGTAGTGGTGCTCTTGAATCCAGGCTTGGTCGTATGTGTCGTGGGATGTAAGTTGGATGGTAGTGTGTAGTGGTGGATGTTGTTGTGTGAGTGCCAATAGCGTAGGGAGAGTTCTGCAGAGATGGGGATGTTGTTCTGGAGTTGTTTGAGTTTGGCACGGCGGTTGTGCTCGCGGTGGGGAATGCCAATGGCTGTGGAGCCCACATAGAAGTGGCCATGTTGATGGTAGCAGCGTTGAGGTTGGTCAGGGTTGAAGTGTAGCTTGATGTAAACTGAATTGGAGGAGAGGAAGTTGTGGTAGTGGTATGTGTGGGGCAGGATGTGGAGCTGGCGGAGTCGGTTGCGCCATTGTTGTGAGCGACGGGTGTTGGAAGGATATGCGAAAAGGAGCGTGATGTGGATAAGGCCAGTGGCAAAGATGGCTTCGGCGCGGTCGATGTATTGGGTGTGGTGGATCAGTACGGAGAGTGCTCGGTGTAAGTGGAACAGGTGGTTGAGGTTGGTGTGGCTGGGTTGCTGCTGGGCGAGGGTAGCGAGTCAGCAGCCGATGGCTGCCCCCACACTCACAAGCTGTTGCAAGCTCCGGATTGGCAAACGATTGACCCGGTTGAGCGGCAGGCCGTAACGTGTGGCTGCGTCCTTGAGCTGCTGGGTAGTGACTTTACTCGTTTGCAGCAAGCGCACGACCTCATTGGCGGCTTCCTGGATGGTGGGGTCGAAGGTGGTGACCCAGTGTTGGATCTCGGGGTGATTCCAACCTTCGGGGATATCATCTTGCAATGTTGGGTGTGGGGGTTGCAAGACATCGGAAAGGGCGGGCGGTTTTGGTGGTGGTGGGGTGGGCGCATGTGATGGGGCGGCCGGTGCTGAGGGTCGGCTGGTGCTCTTCACTGGAGTGAGTGGGGCGCCCAAGTCGTGGAGCTTCTGGCGTGCTCGGGCCAGCTCGTCGGTGGTGTTCTTGAGGGCGCGTAGAGCGGTGCCTTCCGCTGGTGCCGGAGAGTGAGTCTGGAGTTGTTGGATAAGTAGTTTGATGAGGGGGGCGTGGAAGGCTCGGGCCTGTGTGGTTTTGCTGGGAATGTCGGTGCCCTGTTTTGTGTGGAGGGTCTCGGCGATGCCGTCTAGGTCGAGGCGTTTCTCGCGGAGCTCTTGGAGAAGGTGGGTCACGAAAACCGACTCCGCAATACTTCTGGTGGCAATGAAGCCCGTGTATTTGCCGTTGCTAAGAGTGCGGGCGGTAAATTCGGAGGTGCCATGGGCCACGGGAAGATATCAAAGGTCGGAAGCCCTGCCACTCCTGCTTTTCGAGACCACTGTGTGTGTTGGATTGTACGGTACAGTTGGTGGCCGTGCAGGGTGTTGGAGTCCCAGTGGTGGTCGGTTTGGTTCCAAGAGTCTTGGACGGGTGGAGTGGGGGATGGGATGTGAGGTGGCGGTGGAGCAGGTGCCGTGCCGGCGCGGGCAGCTGGCGGTGGTGGTGGGCTGTGCTTGTAGGTCGATGGTGGTGGAGTGACTGGGTCGGCTGTGGGGAGTGGTGGCGGGGGTGGAGGTGGGAACTTCGGCTGTGATGGCGGTGCCTGTTGTGGCGGTGTGTGCTGCGGTGGTGGTGTGTAGGGTGAAGTCACGTATGGATTAGAGTGGTGGGCCTGATGCGTGCGGAGTGCGTGAGTGAGTGGGCCATAAGTGCCGGTAGGGTTGTAGGTGTGGTGAGTTGCTGTGGGAGGTGAAGCTGTGGTGTCTGGGTTGGCAAGCTGCTGATGATGCTGCTGTTGAAGCAAGTAATGATTCCAGTAATATTGTTGCCACTGCGCGTCCATGGTGGCTGGTCGAAGTGTCACTGGATCGTAGAGGCGAAGATCACGGGTTGTTGGTTTGAGCAAGCTGAAGGGCGCGAGAGGGAAAAGTCAAGATCAGGTGTCAATCAGTGCATAGTGGCTTCCAAAAGGCAGTATCAAACAGTCATGGAACTGTCAGACATCGTTAGAGGTCGAGTATTGAGATGAGTTGTGTCAAGCAAAGGTAATGTGAGAATGTCGCTAAAAAAGCAAAAAACTGGTTGGGTCCAAGTATAATCAAAGTTGCTGAGCCAGAAAAACAGCTGAAGGCACAAACTGGTTTTTCGTTGTGCAGGGTGAAACAGGTTGTGTCAGTCCGAGGTCGCAGGGGAAACTAGCTTCCGAAGATGATGGTCGATGTAGATCATCAGGCTGAAACAAAACCAAGAAAAACACTCAGTGTCAGAGAAGGTTGTTGGCCTGTAAATCATCAACGGATAAAGCACTGTGGGTAGCTCAGAGTCAGCCGCCGCATGGTCAGTGATTGTCCGCGTGCCAGGGATCAGTGCGAGGATCGTAATCTTGCTGAGACTGAGGCAGGGGGCGCCCCTGCTGGTCCACCCGTGTGGTAGGAGGGTGGAGCATGACAACCTGCTGTAAGGTCGACCACTTCGCAAACTCCTTCCAAAACAGTAGCTGTCAACTAGCTGAACAGGGCTGACCTTGTCAGCAATGCCACGACAAGAAAAGGATGGCCCCAACGTCAGCCATGTGGCACGAATCAAAAAAACGCCCACCACGTCACATCTTCGTGGCGTGGTTCATCTTCCGGGCACCCACCATTGTCACGCCGCATCCATTGTGGCGCCTGAACACCTGGAGCCCCCAGGGCATGCCGCAACCCGTGCCACCGGGTCCCTCGCCTTGGCGGCCTTGTCCGCCGACATCGCCTGTAGACGGAGGCCGACGTCTTGGAATCCGAAGGAGGAGCTGCCTGTTCTTAGTAGCGCTGCACTTGTTACTAGTAGTAATGCCAGGAGCTACTAGTAGCTTCTTGTTACTAGTAGCGATGCATTGGCTTCTTTTTGGAACCACGGGACCTGTCTTGGAGGTATAGACGGCGCCGCATGTTCGGCTACATATTCGGCTCGGCGCCGCATGGCCCACTCACTGGACTGGAAGAGATGCCACCCCCGACCCTTCCGTCTTCCGCCCCTGCTGGGTTTTAACACATGTAAAACCACGATGTCCATGAAACTCCGTGATTTTTCCAAATGTTCATGGCACCAGCTTCCGCAAATCAAATGGCCGTCCACACGAGAGAAAAATAATAACAATGGAGTCAGCTGGGGGGGAAGCTGCTTCATTCACCCCTGCCGCTCTCCAGCTTGTGCATAGTTGTGCTGGTGTTTCAACTTCTTGGTTCGAAATCCGCACCAGATCTACTGAGATCATTCGTGGGAAATGAGAAACGTCCACCTCTTCGTTCCGCAGCAGCGCCTTAGCGACCTGATCTGCCGGAGCCATCACCTCCAGGAGCCACGATCTCTTTCTCTGGAGGGGCGACGGGACATTGTTTGAGGCAGCAAGTGACACCCAACCCAAGTGACGCCTAGGATCAGGATGGATATATGGGATGTTGAGGCCATATGCATCAGCTACGGTATGAATCATCCTGAACATATACATTGAACGCCAAGATGCTAATTAGTTTAGAGTCTAGAGTCTGGGGGCAACACCAACTGTCCGACCAATCACATGAGGGATCAAGTACCCCAACACATGCTTTCCAGCCCATTGAGGGAAGGAGGTCTTCCTTCCAATCCACGTCGCTTGGTGGTGAGAAATCTGGCTGCTCTTCTCCGCGATCCGAACTTCTTTACCCTCCTTCCAGCCGACAGGCCCCATGGAGTTGATAGTGAATGTCAATCAGCAGGCTGAAGCTGAATGCTAGGCCTGTGTTCTATCATGTTCTATCAAGTGTTTGCCCTGTTGCTGACTCAATGTCATTAGGGACAGGATTTGCCAGAATCTCATTCTGGCCACCTGAAACAAATTTCAGCTTCCGAGAAATGGGTGTGTTGAAATATAGGAAAACCACAGGAGACCCTTCAGTTTGACGCAGTTCGGACAGATCAATGACTTATTTCCAGGGACGTCCGGATGCCATTGAGCAGCCAGTCCGTGGTTTTGATCAACCATCTTCCGGGGTCAAACTGGTAGGTCTCCCGATTTCAATGCGTACCGAAACACCATGCATGGTCATGTAAACATTTGACAACCTGAAATCCTTCTCTCGTCGTGGCTCGCCCCACCCGTCTGTCCCTGCAATTCAATTTGGTCTTTGCGTCACCTTTGACCATGAGTCACTTTCTCTCGTCTGGGTACAACATCATCCAAACAAAACCTTCGAACTTCCCCGCCAGAATATATAACAAATCTATCATTTATTGGTTATCCTACTAGTATGTTAATCAAATCAACAAACCAATCCCTGCCATTCCTTTTCGCTCCATCCCTCCCTCCGCCCAGCTCGTTCGCCCACCTCGCGCGAGTCCGCTCGGATCACCACGAGGAGCGGACGCCAGTTTACCCCCGAAAGGCTTGAGGCCGGCGTGAGGCCGACGGGCAAAGCATAGATCCCAAACACCCAAGAGTCCAGGGATGACAGATATATCATCCTGCCAGGTCCTCCCAGGTGGAAGAGAGGAGGTCTATGTAGTATAGGCATTTGTATTCCATACATTCATGGAGTTTCTGGGAATCATTTGGAAGATACGGATCACCTGTCCATGTCTGCGACGGACAAGGACGGCCACCTGATCAACTCCGATCTCTCTCCGATTTCCAAAGGGGATCTCCGACTGGTTGTGTGCCCCTTTTTGTTTGGTTTGGCATTTAAAGACAATGAGGAGCGCCCTGCTGTGGTTCACTCAACCGACTCAACGCCAGGCAACTAATAGTTTGTTGGAAGGTTCGGGCAACACACCCAGCATTCTTCACTCTACCCAGATCATCCTCGCAGAACTGAGCTCTGACCCTGAAGCGGCCCGGAACCAAAGCATCTGGTGAAAATTAAAAGCTGGTACCAGCAGTCCCAAAGGAATTCTATCCATGGAGGTTAACAGGTGCCCCTGTCACATCCACAGCCCCTGGCTGGGACGAGCCACAGCACCCCAAGCTCTGTTTGGTAATATTTAGTACATATGGATGCTCATCCCCATCCGGCACTTCGCTTCTGGGCTCTAAAAACTGGGCATCCGGCACGACCGTGCGAAACCCGTCTCAGTTGGGACCACCAACGAGAGCTTCATGATCGAGACGATCGAGGCGACGATCGAGACGATCGCCTCACAAACCGTGTCTTGGAAGCCTCACAAAGCTCAGACTTATATAGTATACCTAGAGCCTAAAATGGGACCCCTGGTTTTGATAGGAATGGATCATATGCAGTATAGGTTGGTTGGAGTCCAATATAGAGGTCGCAATTTAAGATGTGTTTGTTCTGTTATGTTTTTCCGACAAACACTGCACCACCTGACTCCACCTTCGCCCTCCTTCGCTCCCCTTTTCGCAGTGACTCCACCTTTTCTCGGCTGAACCTGAGCGACTCGCAGCTCGAGAGGAGCGACCCCACCAGTGCGGTGCCTTCCGCCGAGCGGGCGCAGTCCTCGGGGATCGGGTCGGTGTCGGTCAGACAGAACGAGGATCGCACCCCGTTTCGCACCTTTCACCTGAGGATCACAGGTGGTGTGGGAATATCCCCCAAATACCAGGAAGGGGGGGTTGTTGGTAGACTATTAGGATCTAAATTAGGAAAATTTAGAGTTTCTCCAACATCAGCAGGGGATCGAATAATCTACTCTGAAACCACTGTATTGGTTGAAACCCTTCCACCGGGACCGACCTCCACCGGATGGACGACCTTCGGCGCCGGAAGCGGCGGCACACGACTCACCCTCGGCTCATGCATTGGGCCCCGCCCGCCCTAAGCACCGAACCGGAGGATGTAGTTGGAGCCCTCTGCCTATACAGGGATTGATGATGGCCCCTAAACATGCACCAATGTGATGTCAGGTTGGGCCGAAAACCATCGTGAGAGATCTTGAGCTTTCGAAGACCCGGCCCACCCAGCTCCCCGACGCATCCGTTGAGGATCACCTGGCTGGACTACCTCACGCATCCCGACACCTCCGTTGATCTCCATGGGACTCGCCAACTCCAAATGCAAAAAACCTTCGCATCTGACTCCAGATGAGGTGCCGACTCGAATCTTGACCAAGCAACACATTCCCTTGATATTGATATCTTCTAGACTCTAGACATCTCTAGACCATCAAATACCGCGTGCGCCAAAAACTTGGCCTGAAATCCCTTGCTCTCCACCCCCCACCAAAAGCAAGCACTACCATCGAGTCTTGGAACCCGCATCTGCTGTTCTCGTCCTCCAAGGCTCTTCGCACACAGAGACTGCGAAGTCCCACGACAGGGCGTCTGGCTGGAGGCTGAAACTCTTCATGAACCCAAAGAGATGGAGAACCACCTCCCACCTGGCCGAGCTTTCGTCTTCGTCTTCCCCGGGGGGAGAGCGGTGAAACACACCGCCGACAGACCGCCGTCCAGACGCACCCATCGCCATCGCCTGGAGATCATAGCCTATATGGATCCACTGGCACCTTCTCAGTCAGAAGGTGATTGGAGACTCTATTTATATAGGAATTGAGGGTCCAATTGCCCTACTTCCCTAGGGATCCAGTCGTACCTTCTCAGAAGGTACGACTGGACCCTACAAAACTTACACAACAGTGTTTCCAATTTATTTGTGAGAAGGCACTTGGACTCCTAGGATCATAGTGCCACACAGCAAATACATGCAAACAACTACTACGGTGTCTCGTCCCCCAAATTGGTGGGATACTGCAGGATTCCTCCATGAAGTGTATTGACTCAATTGACCTGGTGATCTACTTAAGTGTTCCACCGAAAATGCCCCCATTGAGATGTCCGCATTTGGATCAGCATGTGTTTTTACCGTCAAACACGCGGCCTTGGGCCATGACAAACTGACCGAAAGTCACACCAGTGCTGCCCAGAGGTCCACTCTTTTGGACCCGTGGCCCACCTCCAAAATCCTGTGCAACGAAAATTGTACCTTGGCTGATCCAGTTTGGTTTTCTTGGCTGTCTTCGGGTCTCACCCCTGTTTTTGTGGTGGTTTGGCAAGAAATCCCTTGTAAACCACAATTCTTGGGTCGTGTGCAAAAACAAATACGTTTCAAACGACACAACCCCTCCAGTCTCTCACAAATCGGACCTATGCCACCCGTCATCAGTCGAACACCCTTTTGGACAGTCAAGGTACCATCAAAAACCAGGTCAGTCCAACACGTCATGAGTCCTGGGTGATTCTCCTTGTGGCCTCCAGTCTCACAAATCAGATCCACCCAGTTAGTCACCCCAAATGGCCTCCGCACACGTCGGCAGCTCTGAAGTGCTGAATTCAAAGAGAACAGATCCTCAGAGCTGTGGGTACGTCAGGTATGTCTGGATTCTTTGTGGTGGTTGTTTATCCAAAAACTGACATGTGGCTAGACGCTTCGCAGCTCTGAGCCACTTAAGTCTACCACCCCCAACAGGAACACCTGGACTTTTTCAGGTGCATGGAGTGGGACAATGTAAACGGTGCAGCCAAAGGGGATGATAGACCTGAGGTTTATATGTTCTGGATAGCCACCCAAGGTGGTAGCAACCAACTGATCAGTCTATCTCGAGTCCCACACGTTTGCCGCCGGCAGATGCCACGGCTATAGGGAGATTGTGGACGTGGACAAGAAGCGGGGTAGCCGCAACGGCTTGGCAGTGTTCCCCGCCAGACTTCAACCGCAAGTGCCAGATCACAGTGGGCACTACCGGACCTCAATACACAACCACAACATGACCACAAACACACAATGCACAAATTACACGACACACAGCCGCAACCACAAACACACAATCACAACCACAGCCACAAGCACAAACACACAGTCACAAACAAAACCACAAACACACAATCACAAACAGACACACACACAAATACGCAAACACAAACACCCATTCACAAACACAAGAACAAACACAACTTAACACAACTAGAACTTCCAGTCGAAGTAAAGTAAAAGATTTTACCAGGGAGCTCTCCTCCTCCTCCTCCTCTCCTCGTCTTCTTGACTACTGCGCCTCAACTGCCAGCCCCAGATCGCAAGGGGCCCATGGGCTATATTTCAACCGCGCGTGCATGATCGCAGTGGGCACTCCCGGACCTCAACAGCAAGCGCCAGATCGCAGAGGGCACGACCGGACCTCGACAGCGCAGCGGAGCAAGGACGCTATATGGAAGGACAAAGGTGATCCTATGGACATCGGTGCAGTGTCCAAAGGCAAAGGAAAGGGCAAGCCAGGCAACACCAACAAGATTACCTGCCACATTTGCGGAAAGCTTGGCCACAAAGCCAGTGAGTGCAGGTCGAAGGGAAAGCAGGGTGGCTAAGGCTCTAATCATTTGCTTTACCTGATAAAACTGTTACTGCTCAACTCCAGCTATCCTGAGGAAAACTTCGGAAGGATGCTGAGCTTATGGCTGAGCTCTCCTTATGCATATACTTGGCGCTCAGACCTGCTGGTGGCGCAGTATAGGGTCCAAGGGCACCGCGGAAAGAGCCTGGTGTGGCGAGTGGTTGCATAGGAGCTCAGCTCACCTATCAAGTGCAGATTTCGTGGCGCCCGCAGCATTTTGCGGACCTTGAGGTGGAGATTTTGTAGCACTTGCAGTACTTTGTGGACCTTGAAGTGTAGCTTTCGTGGCAGGCGCGATACTTCATACGCCTTGAAGTACCACCACCGCCACCACCACCACCAACAACAACAACCAACAACCACAACAACAACAACAACAACAAACAACCAACAACCAACACAACCAACAACCAAACAACCAAACAACCAAACAACCAACAACCAAACAACCAACAACCAACAACAACCACAACAACAACAAGAACAAGAACAAGAACAAGAACAAGACCACCACCACCACCACCACCGCCACCACCACCAACAACAACAAGAAGACCACCACCATCACCATCACCACCACAACCACCACCACCACCATCACCACCATCGCCACCTTCATCACCACCATCATCACCACCACCATGATCACCACCGTCATCATCACCACCACCATGATCACCATCATCACCACCACCACCATGATCACCACCGTCATCATCACCACCACCATTACCACCTTCATCACCACCATCATCCCCACCACCATGATCACCACCGTCATCATTACCACCACCACCACCACCACCACCACCACCACCATCGCCCGCCGCCACCATCACAGCCACCACCACCAGCACCATCACCACCTTCCACCTTCTTCGCCACCATCACCACCATCACCGCCATCATCACCACCACCGCCACTACCAGTCACTACCATGACCGCCATCAACACTTTCACCACCATCACCACCATCACCTCCACCACCACCATCATCACCACCATCACCACCGTCACCAGCACCACCATCACCACCATCACCTTTCTCTCGAGCGCAATGCGTCTAGATCTCTAGACTCTAGACCTTCTTCTTCTACTCCTCTAGACCTTAGACAGGTAAACACACAGTTCGGGGTCTCTTGCCGGGATATGCTTTTGCACGCGTGCCAATGACTTGGATCCAACCAGCTTGAAGCTCGTTTTTTCAATCTTCCAAACCTTGAATGTGTCTCAGGCTTGGATCCATCATAGAGCGGTTCCGTCCAAAGGTGACGCGGCCTCTACCGCGTCCATCACCACTTCACAAGATCGTTACTTGCGCACGGTCTCGATTGCAGCGGTCCCTTGAGGTGCTCCACGGTCCACTGACCACAGAATTCCAATGTATTCACCCACAGTCACTCTCAACTGGAACCCTTCGCTACGCCGGGCAAAAACAGACATGCCATTTGAGGTGACCCGGGCAAAAACACCTTGTTCACATAAACTTCCCCTCCAAGTCTTGTGAATCCAAAACCTTCGTCTCTCCACGCCTTTTGATCCGTTTTGGCTCCCAAAGAGTTCACCGTTTTGGCTCCCAAAGAACGGCTCAAGAAACGACACCGGGCAACGCAACTCCTGACTCGCTTGGTTTCCGAAACCAAAAACAGGTTGGGTTAACATCTGGTTGACCTTAACTGGTTGTCATATTTTTAGGTCAGCAAACATGGAAGACATACCTATATGAAGCAGCAATGTCTGAACTCATGCTCCCCCAAAAAGGGTATTGCAGGTGATGCACGGTTTGTCTCGGCTATGCATCGGAGCCGAGCTGCGGGAGGAATCCGTTGGCCCTGCATCCTCTCCAGCAGGGCGATCACCACATGCCATCGACCTCGATCGACGAAACAGCGGAAGAAGCGAAGGAAGAAGCGGGTTGTAGATGGATATACCCAGACACTCCATGGGACTGCCATATTTGCCTACGTACATTTAAGTCAATTTGAACCACCTTCTGAGGAGATGGTTGGAGCCCAAAAGAAAACTTGTAAATACATCAGGGCGGTTGGCCTGGGGCCAGTCCCATCGGTCGTGTCTGAGGGTATGGATTAGGATACAAACCCATGGCGATTGACCTAGTTGCCAGTGTTAATTGCAGGGCTCATTTTCAATACCCTGCCTGCCTAGCAGCAAATCTACCCAAAGCCCGTGTTCAATGGAGTACTGTGTCTGGGCCTCCAGGCAGTCTGTGACACGGTTACAAGAGGCTCAAGCCAATTCAGTGGAGCCGTATTGGGCCGTGTTGGAGAGTTTGCGAGAGACGGCCCAAGTCTTCACATTCATGGACGCATGGGTCCACCAAAGTATACCCCGCAGGTCCAAAGACTAAAGACCCCGTAAAACCTGGTCCATTACCTCATTGAGTGTTTTTGTGTGATCAACTCCAGCAAAGATGTCCAACTGACCTCTAGGTATATACTCAAAACGGTGATAATTACTTTCAAGTGGAGCTGCAATAACAACCAAGTCAGGATTATTGCCTCACACAATAAACAAACATGTTTTTCTGAAGGCACAAACCAGAACACAAACCAGAAAGAAAAGTAAGGGACAAAACATCTGGATGACGCGGATTCCTTGCTCATCATTCTGCAACAACAATATGAACAAGAACTGTCAAAATCTGTCAAATGACTTCTGTGAACCTTTGACTTACTCTTCTGGGTGCTGGGAGATGTGCGAATCTACGCAAACCTAGAGCCCAATTGATCCCTGTTTAAGGTCCCTCAGGTGCTAGGGATGTACAACTCCCTCAAGAATCACCTGACACCTTCTACATCGCCACACACATCGCCACAATGCAGGAACTGCAAGCGAGTGCAGGGATACTGGCCAAGGGGCTGCCCTTCTCGCAACTGCTGATGACCGAGTTGAGACTAATCACGTCCTCACCCGAACCGCGGTGGGAAACGCGGTGCGTGACTCAGCCCCGGGAGACGGTCGTGGTCCGGGAGACGTCGTTCGTCCAACAGTCTTCAGCGGCCCACGCAGGGTTCTTGGATGACCTGAGGAGCTTTTGCTCTCAGTGTACCCTACAAAAGCTGGAGGACCCCCTTGATGGACTCGGAAACCTTTTTCCCCGGAATGTTCCCTATGCTTCGTCGGATGTGGAAGGGGAACCGGGTGCTTTTCTGGTGAACAGGGTGCTGGTGCTTGAAAAGGGAAATCTGTTGTGCAAATACCTAGAGTCCAGAAAGGACCCCTGGTTTTGACAGGAAAGGCGGACCATATTTTAAGATGGGTGGTGGTCCAAAATAGATCACTCAGGCTCCAGGAACAAAAACATCCTGGGCGGTGTTCTTCAATCCAAGGCCAGATCTCTTCTCGTGAGCTTTGTGCATCGGTCCCAGAACGAGATGGCGGGATATGCCCCCAGATTCTCATGCTTCTCCGAAGACTGTCCAAACACAACAGACTCTCAAAACACTCCATGAAGAAGGAATCGAAGGGAATCGGGACCATCCATTGGGTCTCCAATCAAGATCCTTTGGAGGCAAGTCCATGCAAGTCCATTATGATGACCCAGACACCATGGTCCTGGCACATTTCTCCATGAAACTGCCACTCTTCCGACGGTCCGGACGGTCGCTCCGACGCGACCGCTCGGACGCTCTCCAGTCGACCGTTCGACCGAGCGCGACGGGCCGGCTCCTGCGAGACGTGGCTGGTGGCCATGGCGGTCAAGGTGCTCAGGGCCCAACGCCAGGCGCGTGGCGCGCGGCGCCCGTGGTGAAGGTGCTCAGGTGCGGAACAGGCACCTGGGAGAAGGCTCAGGTGCCTGATGCCTGCGGGAAGACCATGACCAGAAATACCAGTGAGTCCATGGTTTAAAAAAAGCACGTATCACATACCGAATAGGACTGTTGGCAACTTCAAAGTGAGTCCATCTTTGAAGGGTCCTTCACCTACCAAATATTGTTCAAATACCCTCGGTCTCCCAAAACATCAGCGCGTCTGGAGGAAATGGGCAGCCAATCCGAGACCGCTCCGGAGAGAGAAAGCACCCGGCCTGGAACCCATCGAAAAGGCCATTGAAAAGGATGGATGTTCCAAGGAGGAACCAGAGCTCGGGGTAGTGTGGTGTAGCTCGTCCCAGCCAGGGGCTGTGGATGTGACAGTGGCACCCCAAACCATTCATGGATAGCATCCCTTTGGGACTGCTGATTCTTCTGTGTCGCAACGGCACCGTTGAGCACGGCATTGAACACCGCGGTGTTCGCCACCGTCGCGGCCGCCGCGGCCGCCTGCCATGCGCGGCCGTTGGCGCAGCTGCTGACGGCCACCGAGATGGTCACAGCCTGGGGGGGTCGGTTTGGTCCAACAGCCCAACAGGTCCAGTCTGACCCAAAACCTGGTCCTGAGGTGACCTCATTTTTTGGAACGTTTTTGGTAGATTATCAACTCCAAGTTCAACTCCAGTGAAATGAGGTCAACTGATCGATGGGCGACCTCCAAAAACCGCAACCCATCCCTACAAGTCAGTTTGACCTCATGAAACCTGGGAGATGGTCATACACCTGGGAGATGGTCATACAGAACCAAAACTTAAAAGAGGTAAAACACAACGTTAGCTTTTACTGGACCTTTAGACTTGTACGGAATTGATTTTGATTGTCCTTCTTGCAGAAGGTCTTTGGGGGGTCTGCCGAAATTATGTCAAACCCATGCATTTCTGTGGATGAACAAAAAACAATCCCCCAAAAAGGATGGTCCATCCAAACATTGAAATTCTATGTTAGGTCATGTTAGGTCAAACATGGTCAAATAACACCCCCCACTGGTGACAGGTTGGTCAAACAAAACACGTTGACCAAGGTCGTGTGCGACCCAGGGCTCCTGTCCCATATATCCTCCGAAGGTGGTTAGACCAAATCCACCCAAGAACCACCGAACTGAGGCGAAGGGGGCGGCCGAACGGAGCCCGTCTAGGGGTATATTCTCGACGCGTGGCAAGTCTTGCATGTCAAGTAGCTGAGACTTCCAGCGCTCGCGGGCCAAACATCTGCAAAAGCTCCAGCGTCTGTGTCCATCGTGGCCCATAGGCACTGGCCTCGGCCGTGCGAAGCGCCGAGGCGAAGCGCGATGCGCTTCGCAAAAAATGAGGAGAACGGCCAGGAGGGCAACTCCAATGGCTGGATGTAGAAAGGAACCAAGCCTGCCATACCCTAGCATGCATGGTCACACAAGGAGTTGTGTGTTTTGCAGAAATTGGGAGATGTTCTTCGAAACCGTTGGTCAGAAATAGCCAACAGGGGACAACAAACTGTTTTGGATTGAATTTGGAACGCAAATTTCTGCAGTGGAGCATGATGAAACTACATCGGCCGACATGATCTCTTACGCTGGATAATGACTTCAATTTTGGTAGTAGGACTTCCTAGGAACACTTGATGGCGCATCTGGTTGGAGACAAGAATATGTCAGACTCCTCTCCGGAACTGAACACAAATACCACCACACGACAAAACTTCCTCAAGTCCGAAGAAACCATGGAGTCACTTGGAGGGTGGCAGAGTAAGCTTCTTTCCCAGGGCAAAAAGCAACTCGTTCGTCTCCGGAGTGTTGCTATATAATGTTGCTAAAAGCACAAGAAATGCCATGTTAAATCAAAAGTGCCACTTACGCCCTGTAGGATCTGTAGGATCTGTAGGGAACGTTTTGAAGGAAATGGAGGAGGAAACCACAAAATTCACAGTTCCAAGCTCCTTGAAAGGACCAGTCAGCAACAAAGAGGCGTAGCAACTTGTGACTCAGTCCCTGGTACCCGACAGATGAAGCCACCGATGACCTGTGCCACCGACCTAAGCCCAACTTCACACCTTTATGTGACACCGATCCAGCAAACTTAGGGGCCCCGGCCACGGCATTGAAGGAGGTGCTGGTGGCTGCACCGGCCGCGCCGGCCGCGGCGGACATCGCGCCTCGCGGCCGACCGGCGCGGTGTCGGAGATGCCGCAGCAACTGCTGTGCAGTCGACCAGCGCGAGGATTTCCTGGGTCGTTTTGGAAAGGCGAACACAGGGAGATCGATGCCTTGCGCAACAGTCGAGTGCTTTCCTGGGAACTTTTCTCACCGACCCTTGGGATGTCAACGAGACACACACACACCAAAATGGTCAAACAACTATACCTGGAGTCTCCGTTCGTACCATAGAAAGTCGGGTATGATATATGACCCTATATATTAAAAAATCGTATAATTGTACGTACTCTTCTACCATCGTCTACCAATTTCTGTGGTACGAGCTGCCTTTGCGAACAACGGTGGCTTTGGCGCTGCCTGTTCATAGCTTGAATCATCTTAAATATGACGAAGAAATGGCCTCCGGAATACCCTTTGGAAAGCTCACACTGAGAGTTGATCAGTTTACCCTTCCAACTATTTGGGAATCTCGACTCAACTCATCCACCCTCACTGGTAATGTCCAATCTCAATTAGTCAAATGGATGGGAATGTAAATAAGATTACGTAAGTTGTTTGTGTCTTTTTTGAGGTTTGCGTTTGCTTATTGATTTAGCTTTCTATTGTTCAGCTATAGTTGCCCTTTAAGATCCTTGGCTCGACCTCTTCTGAGGTTTGCTTGTTTCCTTTTTCAGAGATCCAGTCGAGTCGAGTAGAGTCCCATTCTTTTTTGAAATGACCCGCATTGAAGTGGTCAAATTGAATATTGAAGTAACAGGTGCTCCTTCCAGACCAACTTCAAAAACCAGGTCCCACCGTTCCCGCCCGTGTCCGCCGGTTCCGCTCGCCCTTCGTGCTCCGCAGTGCCGGAGCCCCTCCGTCTGTCTCACCAGGAGTCTCGCAGGCGGTGATGGCCGCGTTGTAGGACATGGTCTCGACACTCATCTCAGATCCCTGGAATTTTCGGACTGGTTCGCCAGATGTTTTGCGTAGAAGCCGCAGTGGCACTGGCTCCCTGATTTAGGGTGTGGAGGATGAGCCCCAAAGACTGAGCCACCTCGAACTCGAACTCAGGTAGCCGCTGACGATACCTTTGCGTTATATTGATCAACCTTGGATACAACCGTTTCCTCACCAGCCATGCAGGGCTTTAGGGGCTCCGAAAAGCATGCGAAAGCTAGCTCTCTTCGGAGACTTCTCCCTAGAGTGACGCTGGCCTGCAGGATCTCTAAGGCCATAGACCACCCACATGCTGTCAAAAGCCCAGGGCGCCCAGCAGGCTCCTGGCAGGACCCCGCAACGCCCCGCGTGGTGAACACCACCCGCGCAAAGAGAATGGTCCATCAATCACGGAATCCTCAGCTACGTGCGGTGTACGGAAGTCCGTGCAGGAGAAAAACCTTGTACCGGTTAGACCCCAGCTTCAGACGCGGCTGGCTAGGTACAGCAGGGCAAGTCTTGCTAGGTATACACAACTTCGCCCATTCCGAACCCGCGATCGATTCACCCACGACTGGCGAAGAATGGAATGAGCGTACGGCACAGTTCCAATGAAAGGGATCCTTGTCCGTGGCGGTGAGCCCAGTGGCCGGGCCGTTTGGGTCACAGGCTCGGTCCAGGAGGTCCAAGAGACGTTACGAGGCCTGAACTATAGGACCCTGTATACAGGTACAGATGCGATGGGCGACAAAACGGGCTGGTCAACCTCTCCTGGGTTGTTTGGTCTAAGATTTGGTCTACGCAGAAACGCGCAAACGCTCCGTGATGTGAGGGTCCGGACTGCTCCAAAGGATTGGGGTCCGGCCCCTACTTAGGAGGGTCCATGAGCCTCTGGATGAGAAAGTATTTAATGCAAAAGCAACAAAGTTCACTAGTACAGCTCTATATCACCTGCTCCACTGTGTCATCTGCTACAGGGCATGGGTGGATCTTAGTGACTTTTGGGTGGAGGCAAATGATTACCCGTTTGGGCAGGTTCGGTGGGCCTGAGTGCCCCCCGAACTATATATCCACCCGAAGACCACTCACCGAACCGAAACGGAGGTAGGAGCCCAAACGGGACAAATATTCATAGGATGTGATAGGATACCGGGTTGAGCATCCAAACTGTTCAAGGCCTCCCCGTGAAAGCTGTGGTGATCCCAGTGCTAGCCTTCTTAGAGCATGGCCACATACCTAAGGCCCGCAAAAGCGTTCCCCAGGCAAACCATAGCTGCCATAGCAAAGCTCTATTCTAGCTGTCACCAGTGGTAAGACTCAAACCACTACGGCCGAACGATGGCCCCTGGTTCCTTCTATAGTTGCTGCCTGCGGTCCACTGGATGCCCTGCTCCGCAAAACTTCACACGATAGGTTGGGCACTCGAAGAATTCCTCTGTTCTGTACGCCTTCCCCGGACTTGACAGCAAACATCAAAAAAAAGGATAAACAAGGTGTCTTGAGTGCCTCTATGCCCGCACCATGATGCAGCAGTTCTGGGGTGTTTACCATGTCAAAATCGTCGGTGGGGCGTCTCGACATGCGTCGAGAGATGCATCTCACTCACTACAACTGCATCCACGAAGCATGTCACTCACTATGCCTACTAAAGCATGGCCATTTCGATGCCCTCACGGTCTGCATCCCAACGAAAACGAGAGTCATATCACACAGGAAGTCAGGGGTGTGTGACTCACTTGGAAAAGCATTCATCAATATAAGTTATAAGTACTAGCCACTAGTCTTGATTCACTTGATATGGTTAAACACCATACAAAGCTGTATATGATATTAATATAGAGGGAGATCTTTCAACACGCAAACGTCGCACCCACTCCAGATCTCTCCTCCACTTCCAGCAGCGCCCGACGCCAAGGGCCCAGCGACAGGCACCGTCCGGCGCGGCGCTGAAAAAGGAGTCCTTCGGCGAAGGCCTCAGCGATGGCGTTTCACAGAATGTGACATTCACCTTTCATGTGGAGCTTTGTAAGACCATAAGTGCTTCTTGGCTTGTTCCAAGCACAAATAATGGATCCAAATCTATCTGTGATCAGTTCTGCAGCGCATAGTCAATAAAGCACAACTTGTCCTTTTTGAGAAAATGGACAACGACATGTATAACATAAAGCAATTTAAAGCGACACGCAACTCTTTATGATGCATCCTGCTGGTACCTATGAACTGCCAACATAAACAAACACAACTCGGAATCCAACAGCCTGTCTTGTCCCTTCACTCGGCATAAGTGAGTGGATCTCCAGAAAACATATCCAAATCATACTCTGCCATATCAAACTTCCGAAGGGCAACACACAGTGCATGCGTGCTGCGTGCTCTTCATATTGTGGTTCTTTCTTTGTCGGTCGCTTACCTGAACATCCTAAAAGTGGAGGGTCCTTCCAGCTATCCCCAGAGTGTCATCTTGTCAAGTCATCTTGCAACATCCTAAACATGTGGTACCCTTCGTGCCCTCTAAGCCGAAACAGTCAGTGCTGGTCATATGTTAAGCCGAAACAGTCCAAGTCTTTCATCCGAACCGCCGAACGAACCTCGGACGGACGACACACAGGAGGACCCACGATGACGCCGAGGTCCCGTGTTAGCTAGTGAATTGGCTCGGCGTGGAAGACACACATAGACCACGTTCCCGAAAACTCACATAGACCCGGGTTTAATGGTAACCTGGAAGATTGTTTTCCTCTACCAACCAGTGGATTGCTCTCCGCCACCTGCGCCTGGCGCCAGCGTGGCTCCAGTGCACCGGCCGCCAGCTTCAAGGTCTGCTCGGTGGGCTCCAGCGAGGCCAGGCACATCCTGAGACGAGGCACGTGGTGAGGCACGTCACGTCGTCTTTAGAGAGCCAAACAAACCCGTTTGGGCTCCAGGTAAGCACCTTCGTTTCGGTTCGGTGGGACTGGGTGGGTCCTTTTTAGGATCCAGTCATACCGAACCTGAGGAGGTACGACTGGAGCCCTAGCAAAAACAATGAAACAAACAAACGGATTAACACAAAGAAACCATGGCCCAAACAAAGACGACCTGTCTGGGAGCAATGGGACTGGCATGTTTACATGAGGGGTGGTTGACCTGGGATCATTGTTGGTAAATATATATATATACCTGCATCTTCATTGGGCAACAATTTTTGTGCACTTGGTTTTGGAGGAGATTTCCGTGTACTCTACAGAAGTCTGTGCACTTGAACACAAAATTGTGCATTTCTGTGAGCATGGTCCCGTCTTGAAACACACAAGAAGGCCCTGCTTGTCACTTGCGCCGGAGCCTGCGCTTCCAGCTCAACTTCCGAATCTCCCATTTCATTTTGATACGGATCCGGTCTAGCACTCTGTGGCTTGCAGTTCTTGAACTCACTCTCTGACATATCCTGCTAACATGTCTCACCACAGATTCATAAGCTTCACAACTGTAGGGTAGTGGACAGGGAAAGATGTGTGTTGGGTGGGAAAGACGTGTATAGGACCGGAAAAGACGTCTATTGGACGGGTAAAGACGTGTATTTGACGGGAATTTCCGGGTAGAACAAATTTGTCACGCGGGACTTTTCTTCAACAAAATGGAGCCCTGCCGGTTTGACAAGCTCCAAATCATTCCAAATCTCTTGAGGGAGCAGCGGACGCCATTCCTTTGGGATGGGGTATCTCAATACTTCTGACAAAGCTGCATGTGCTCATTTGTCACCGAATGACAGGCTTCGGAAGTGGAAAAATGTTACCCAATACAGCCCGAAGGGCTACAATCAGAAAATGTGCATTTCAAATGACTTTTGTGTTTTTTCCTGAAAGACGTGTAGTGCACAGGAATTTCTGAATGCACAATTATTATTGATAATTTGAGGTTGCAGGTATATATATATATATAAATTTAGTTATTTTTATGGTTCAAATTTTGATGCAGTGTCTGGGATGCATGCATAGACTCATAGATCTGAAGACCTTTTCAATCAGACGTCGGACCTTCCGGCGCCTGATCCATCTTCACTGCTGACGCTTTTCCTTCTCGTCGTTTCAGTTTCGTTCGCTCATTCGTTCAGTATACTCGCCTGCTATTCGGAGCCACATGGACCCCCAAAACCACTGGGTTGAAATTTGGAAAACGGTCGAAACCATGGGTCAATTCTCAGGATACCATGCCACTACATTTGTTCAGACCTTCCGAGAACCTTTCGAGCGAAGGACGACGTTTGGCGCCGTCTTCTGCCATGCATCTGGCTCCAAAGCTGTCCGACCATTCGCCACTTGGGAGTGCCTGCGAGGTTCGAGTGCTTGAGGTCCGTCCCATGGGATGTCGTTGGTCTAGTCATGGACTCCATTGGACACATCAAATAACAAACACGGTGCAGATCCTCTCGGTTGCCCAAGAAGGAGAGGCACTAAGTTGGATCATTGGGCACATGCAACTCGGATCATGCCTCAGCTCCACCAAAGACTGCGGCAAATCCTCGTTGTGGTTGCGTTTGGAAGATGTTGTTGTATGATGTGGTTTGGTCATTGAGTATTAATTAAGGAAGGGAAAATTGCCGACTCTTTTTCCCTGATGTTCTTGCTAAAGATTCCTCTGTCACGTCTTCCCAAAAACACCTGCCCAAGGCGCAGGGTCAGCCTCCAACCAACTGCAGGAAAGTATATGTCCCTGAGGATCCATGACCATCAACCAAACAAACTCATACCAATAGAAAAACAAACTCATACCAATTGTGCAAATACACATGTGAAAAACCTCCAACGCAAGACAAACCACACCACGTTCGCACCACGTTCGCGAAACCACCTTCGCCGCTCCACGGTCCGTGCGAACGGGTCGTTCCCCGTGCCCGGCCGCCGAGCAAGCTCGTGAAGGCTCCCAGCTGCGGCGCCAGGCGCGTCGGCGCGAAAGCGTCCAGCAGAGCGGTGGCGAAGGGCCATGCGGCGGGAGAGGCGCAGGTGGCGAGCGCTAAGGCATGGGAGACCTGCAGATGAGAGATGGGGAGGACAAGAGAGGTGGCCCGGCTGGTGGATATGGCAAAAAATGATCCAGTTGGATGATGATGGGGTCCAAAAGAAAGAAAACAAGGAGTCGAGAAGAGGACAGTGATGGGGGATTCAAGGTTTTTCGGATAGTGCCAAGATGGTCTTTGAGGTGAAGTACTTTCGATGGGCGATTGGAGGAGCTGTATCGATGATGACTCTTTGGGCTGATGGCTGTATCGTGATGGAGGAATCTTGGGGGCTTCAACTGCCCACAAGCTACGCCGCTACGCCATGGTGTTGCGGAATGACAACTCAGCACCCCGAAAGCTGGGGGACTGCTGTCACTGCTGGACAAGTTCTGCAGCACAAGGCATGTACAGTGCTTTCAGAGAGGGCACACTCCCATATGTCGGTGGTTTAGATGGACCCCCCATCTGGACATCGACAGGCCAACGATGGAGCGACATCAACGACATCGACCTGGGTGGGTGACTCTGCAATTTGGACGGAACTCCTCCAGGCATCTTGGGAACAATCGAGGAAGAAGTTCCAGTTCGTTTGGACAACCAAAACCGACCTGTTCCACCCACCACATCCGACCTGTCCCATCCTACCAAGCCCTTGTGCTGCCAACGACACTCCACTTGACCTGGGCCGTTCACCACCTTCGAGAAAGACCAACGCCTGGTGCCAGCGGTCCTGGAGCTGCCCCAAAGCGAGACTCTCACTGCCAACGTGGAAAGAAGGGCATGAATCGCACACTTGTTGGACAAAGACTAACCTGAATAAATCATCTTAAATCTATTTAAATCTCATTGGGTGGAAGCGACACATTATTAAAGTGTGTGACAGTGTGTCATTCATGTCCCCCAAAACTCCAAAAAGAAACGCACTTGGATGATCTTGGATGGATCTGGCATTGACGTATTGAATCCCAGATTCCGCGGGATAGTTTGTAGGGCTTCGAAGGACCATATTGAGGACCTGTACTATGACAAAGCATCCGTTCAGGGATGGAAAGGAAAACTCATTTGTACGTTCATGAAGTGCCAAGCCCTGTTGCCAGCCCTGTAATTGGAGAGTCACCTGTTTCTTAGAAGCACTGGGGGTGTTTGGAACCAAGACGACTAGGAACTGGTCTGGTTCGCGGTTTCAACTCACTTGAAAATAGGAGTCAGTGGAATCAATAATATCAAGTTAGTAAGGATTGAATATAATATACATAAACATATTCACAAGCCACCATCTAGCAAAAGCAACAAAAACTATTGCCTTCCCCATCCTTCCCCAATCAGCATAGTCTGCAGAAGGCTTTGGATCACCGTGGTTCCTCTACCAATGCAAGACTGTCAGGAACCTCCAGGAACTAGCGGTTGAATTATGTTCAATTTATAACTTTATTGATGACCTCGACCTCCCCATCGACCTCCGCCGTCGAGCACCAACCGCCCACTTCTTCGCGCACCAGCCGCAGGCCGGTATTCCGCCGCTCCCATGAGCTGGGCCGCTCCCGTCCTCCAAGCTCCTGAGAAAGAGATGGCCCAAAGCGTGATCCTCGTGCCGTGGAGGAACGTCGATGGCCCGGGATCGACGGCGGAGGTCGATCCCAAATCTCTCGGATTGGCCGGGGGTTGACTGGCCGAAGTCAGTGCAGTTCTGCTTTTTTGTTCAACCATTGTCAGTGTGCCCGTGTCTCCCCCCGGATCTAAGACCCATCCACCTCGCACGGACCATCCTTTCGACCAGGAATCGAGCACGGGACTTTCTCGGGGGGGAATGCGGTGCCTCCTTCTTCTGCACCAAAAGCAACTCCTTCTAAAATCTATAACTCCAAACACGGAACAAGTGCGTTACTACTAGTAGCAAGAAGCTACTAGGTTGGAAGCCATCGCTAGTAGGTTGGAGGCCATTTCTATTAGTAACGAACAGGACTTTCAACGGTCTGCTGGTAGCCACCGCGTTCCGCCGAGAACAAACGTTGTCACGATTGACATCGAATGGCATCGGAGCTTGGTGCGAGTTTGGAAGGATCTGAAGCTATAAAAAAGAACATTGACATAGCACCACAAGCCAGTTTGGATTGTTATTAGATGGTACAGTAGATGATGGTAGATAGATAGTCAGGGCGTCTGTAAACCACCCAAAATGGGTGGTGCTGGTATAAGTTAAGAAACATTATACTTGAGTTTAGATGATATCCGTCTGGACAACAATCTAGAAGCAAGGGTGTCGAATAATAGCCCCTTAGAACTGAAAACAAGGTCCGGATCCATTAACCACCCCAGACATCCCCGGATAGACAAAGGTAGACAAACCCTAAAAAGTGTTGGCGCCTGTCATCTGCGATGCCATTGACCGTGCAGTCTCCTGCTTTTCACGCCTTCGCGCCAAGCGTCTGCCCGGATGCCGCTCCACCTGGTTCGTGCCAGGAGCTCTTGCGCCATGGTCCAGTGGTCTTGCGCCTTGACCGAGGACATGAACACCGCGAAGGAGATCACATCCTCGAGGCGACTCAAGGCAAGATGCATGCTTTCTGCAGACTCAGGATGAAGATAGGCAAACAACAATAATGCGCCATGCATCGAAACATGATTACATTACCCCAACATCTGTGTCTACAACATCTTGATACGTGTTTGTTTGCAAAATGTTAACACTAGTGTTTGTTATTGTTTTTTTTCCTGAAGGTGTTCTTTGTGAGCATTGCTAGGTGTGCTGATTCATTGAGTTCTTTGGGCCACTCCGCCCTTGCGTCGGTCGAAACCAATCCGGAGAACACCTGAAGACACGTCAAGGGGGGCTGGTCGTGTGGCAAACTGGGCGAGTTAGTCGGGCCAAACATGAAAAGGCATGAAAACAAATCATATATATATATATTTAGGTGTAGCATGGTGTAGTGTAATTAGAGTCTAGTGCCTGTTTTGTGTGAAACGTAAAACAAGACAAACAACGGTTAGTTAGTCCAACAATCATTGGATGAGTACACTGATTTTTGCCTATAGGCATACTTTGCCTAATGATTCTGCAGGATCGCAGGGTGTTGTCTCGGTTTGGAGTGGGGTGCGGCCCTTGGTCCCTTGTGCCCAGCGTCCAGCTGCAGTTGCCGAAGCTGCTGTCTGCAAAGCAAAGACTCCGAAAGCGCCCAATGACCAACTTGGATGCCTCGCTATAGCCAAGCAGCAAGGTGACACAGCAGCTCCTTCCACCGAGACCCACTTTACACCTCAATTGCGAGCCCTCAAGACTTTGAGTTTCACCACTTCCGCGTTAAAACTGCCCCGAAAACCGACATCTGATGAAGTTTAGCCACCCACTTACAGTAGGCCTCGAGGCCTGTATAGGCCTGAGTTCTTTGGGAAATCGAAACCGCACTAGCTTTTCATCTGCTCGTCACTTAAGAGCAAAATCTTTCTCTTTAACGAAGAGGGTAGGTCCCCCAGCAGGAGACATCTCCATCACCCTTTTGAAGGTTACATTGTGTACAAAACCCCGTTCATATCCAAAAGTCGTCTCAGCTCACAGGTCCGCCTGTCCGGGCCAAGGCACTGTTCGCGAGGGCATTGCAGGTCACGCTGCTCAGCTCAAAGCCCTTGTGCGCCATCTCCAAGACCTGGCGAAAACGAAGAAACGTCCCACAGTCCAAGACCGACGTTTTTTTCCCCACATCTCTGTGTGGGGTTCTAGTTTTGTTGGCTGCCATCCCGCCCGACTCCGTCCTTGCCTCCCTCCTTCCCTCCGTCCTTCTGTTACACACACAATCATCTTGTCATCTGACCTCTTTCCCTCACACACAATCATCTCATCATCTCACACACACACACACTCATCTTGTCATCTCACATCTCACATTCACACACACAATCATCTCATCATCTCACACACACACTCATCTCATCTTGTCATCTCACCTCTTTCTCTCATTTCTCTCATTGTCTTTCTTGTCTTTCATTCTCTTTCATTCTCTTTCATCTCCACTTGATCTACTCGCCCTTCTTGTCATCTCACAGTCACACACACAATCATCTAGTCGCCCTCATCCACTCACAACTTCATCTATTCGCCCTTCTTGTCACATCTCACACCCGCAGTGGCCGGCGTAGTCTCCAGAGACTGCAGAAGGGGCTGCGGCGCGCGTTGTCCCCGCTGGGGGCCCGGCTGGGCCCGGCTCTCTCCGCAGTGGCCGGCGCAGTCTCCAGAGACTGCA